CACCTACCTAATACCTTAAAGTTTTAAGTTGTGATATGGTGTAAAACTCACTTGTGTGCTTTATTCGTTATCCATGGATGGAGTGCTCCCAATGTTTAACTCCCATGGGTAATGACTGACTCAAATGCCTATTGACCAATAGGATTGGCAATGGATCCGAGAGTGGGATCCCAAATAATAATGGAATTGGCAAGAATACTTGTGGATGAAAAAGACTTCCACTTGAGGGAGAACTTGACCATGTGAAAAAGATTCACACTTGAAGAGAAATATTGGAGTTCAAGTGTGAAGTGAATCTCACATCGGTTAAAGTTGGACATGTTAAACAGTAAATAAGTGAAAAAGACTTACTTGCCTAATATTTTAAGGTTTTGGATTATGTGATATCAAACTCACTTATATGATTTATTCACTACCCATTGTGTGGACACTTTTTAGTGTTTAAACTCTTCCAAACCAATATTTTATAATGTGATAAGTTGTATTTACTATTTAACATTAGAATTTACCTCAAACTTCAAGAAATATATAAAAAAAATCTCATGCTTGAATTTTGTTCAAAATTTTATTCAAATAAATGTATGATGTGTTTTATAAATATATGTTAATATATATTTATATAACGAAGTATTAAATAATTTTTAAATTTTACAAAAAAAATTATTAACATGATTTATTCATTAATTTATTTTTAATTAATCATTGAATTGTTGAATTTAATATAAATTATGAGTTATTAAATGAAGTAATATAATCAATAAATACTTTAAATTTGTTCATAGATCAAATTTTTTTAAATTTTAAATTGAGTTAGACCAAACCATTTTATAAGGTAAATTGATTCGATTTGGTAAAATTTAATTATTTATTTTATATTCACCAAACCCAATCCATGTTTTGTAAAACGGATGATTAATTAGATAATTTTTATAAAGTAAATTAATTCAATTTTTTTAAAAAAGGTCAAATTTTATAATCTAAAACAAATTAATTTTAAATAGATCAAACTTATTTGAATTTTTTACACTCTCCTCTTATATTCTTTAATAAATATTTTTGGCAGCTAAAAGAATCGAAGACTATCATGGTACTTCATCTCATTTAAATTTATCAAATTATTCCAAATAATTAATAATTAATTAATGAAATGTCTTTTAATACCAAAATTCACCAAATGTATAATATAACTAATATTTTTAATTAAAAACACACTTAATTAATGCGATCAACAAACAATATTTTTTTTAATATTATTTATCACCCCACAACACAGTTAAAAGTTACTATTTTGTGGGGGTGTCTAACAGTACGGGTACTTGGCGTAAAAAAAACATTAGGAGGTATTTGTGTAAAAAAATATTTTTTGTTTTAAAAATGTGGGTTTAAAAATAGATTGGGATTGTTAATAGTAACTTCCCTTTAATCACCTTATTATGTTATATATTAAAATTAAAATTAAAATATAGATATAGATGGCATTACAACAAAAAATAAATATGGATGTCACTACATCAGTTTCGTCAGAAGTTCAAAAAACTTTTGTACAAATGAAAAGTTGTTGGCGGAGAAAAATATAGGGATTGAATTTCTTTACAATTTGTCAAAATATAAAACTTACGTAAAAAAAAATAAATTTGTAGGAAGTAAAATAAAACACAAACTGCTTAAGAAAAACTAAAAATATATCAAACTCTTAAATTTATCTTTATATTATATTATATATATACAGACTGAAGTAACAAAATCAATAAAAGCAACATTTTACACTTAAGAGTGTAAGCGAGTTAAGATTCACACGTAAACCTTGATTAACCCAATCTAATCTAACTACACTGCAAAGGTGTAACTATTTACAAAACAAATTCTAACTATGATAAAACTTTAAGACAAAACAACTTGGCCTATTTGCTCAGTTGGTTAGAGCGTCATGCTAATAACGCGAAGGTCGCAGGTTCGAGACCTGCATGGGCCATGAATTTTTTTTTCTTTTTTCAGAACTTCTATTCCTTTCCAACTTCGTTAAAGTCAGATATTAAACAACAAATCCACAGGTTATTGACTCTTCTTAAGATATTAAACCCTAAACCCGTGCACGAATAAATAACAAACCATGGCTTTGCAAACTGGGTTAAAGCAATACATTAGGTTATTGACTCTTCTTAAGATCGCAGAATTAGGGAACATTCTTTATAGCTACCCTTTATATTTTCAAAGGCCATAACCCTTTATTTATACCCCAAAACTTATTCCATAAGTTTTTCAACAAGCATCAAGTATTAACAAAAGAGTTAAACACCTATACATTATCGGTGTAAAGTTTTTTTACATTGACAATCAATTATATCTTTTAATTGTGTCATATTACTATTAAAAGTAAATGTGTTTACAGTGACATGACACAATTAAAAGATATAATTGGTTGTTAGTTTATACTAGCAGTGTATAGGTGATTAACTCTTAAGATGATACTAATTTTACACTTATATGATTAAAATAAACGACAATAGACTAATCAATTGATAAAATGGAAACTGTTGAACTGTTTTACTGAAGTGGTTTCCATCACACATATTTTGGACTGTTTCTTTGGGCCTTAAAGGCATGGCCCGTGAACACATTAAATTAAGAGAACTCACGTTCAGCTGCACCGGATAGGATACATATATTTAGAAAATTTTAAATATGTTTTTAGTTTATATAAATATGGCTTTTTTACCCAAGTTTATATAAATATGCTAAACGTGAAATTAGAAAGAATGAACACAACTTTTCTTGAAAAGCAAATTTTTTTTTTTAGTTAAACAATGATTTTGATAATTATCCCTTATATAAGAGGCGTGAAGAATTACACATATTTTTATTGAAATTCAGTATGAAAAATTTATACAATAAATATTAAACTTATTTATTACATCTTTGATTTGAATTTTGAAGTATTTTAAGTCTACGAAGTGTTTAAACTAAAAACATATATTTTTTTATATAAAAATGTTAACAAGTAACACTACACTATTTCATGTGTTATTTATTCTTAACTAATTTTTCATTATTAAACAAAATTCATGTGAGAAAATGAAGTCAATTTTTCTCCAATTTATAAAATTTATACAAAAATAAATAATAAAAATATATTTATAAAATTATTAAACAGTGTGTTGCGACTTTTTCATTAATTCAAATTTCCTTTTGCAAAGGCAGATAATGTTACGATATAAAACAAATCACATGAGAACATGTTATCTCTAATTAAATCACAGAAATAGCTAATTAGTGAACAAGCAATTTTATAACCAGAACTCCAGACGTTGTTATCTAGGCTCGATTGTTTTATCCTTCGTCATGAAACAACAAAATAATTGTGGCTGTATAAAATAAATGCTTAATGTACAGTAAAATGCTTGTGATGAGCTTGAGATTAGAGGTTCTGTTTTTCTTGATTTGTTTTGCAGCAGCATATATATTATTTTAACTCGAGGTATCCTCCCGTCAAAAACATCCTTTATTTTTATTTTTTAATCCCTAAATATTATTTACACTACTTTATTCTTTACCCACTTCTTAAACTATTAAATTATTGATTAAAAAATAGCATTACTATCTATGGTTCAAAAGGGGAGAAGAAAACAATTATAAGTCTTGTTTGATTGAGAGAAAAAGAGAGAACAGATTTTAATAAACGATGAGAGTTAACACTTTTTTTTTATTTGATTTATGAGGTGAGAAAATGAATTTTAAAAACTAATTTACTTTATGCCCTCATAATTATGAATTTAAAAATAAAAAGAAAAATATTTTAAAACTTTTCTCCTCTCATTTCCTCCAAATTTCCACAATATTGGAAGAAAGTTAAAATTAGAGGTGGGGAGATTTTATTACTTTCCATTCTTCTTCAAACCAACACACTATCTAATCTATATATTTATAACATTAATAAAAGGGGTATCTTGTTTTGGTGTTCACAATTTTTAACCCTTTCTCCCTTAACTAATTTGCTTAATTACATTTATATCTCTCAACAAATTTGCTTAGTTATTCCACTATTTTGAACTTAACTGCAAACTTTTCTAGTTTCATCATTTTTGTTTTATTTTTTTATGATGAGGGATAAAGTATCTCATTTTTATTAGTATTTATAACAATATATAAATGAGATATCTTCTTCTCCAACTGTTTTTTATCTCTATTTTTAATGAGATCATTTTGTGCTTCACAACAACTTCAAAAAATAAACCAATTTATTTATATCTAAACTTTTGATTTCATGTTTTAATCTTTTAATCTTTTAACCTTAAATAACTACAAGTTACATTTCTATTACAAATGAAAATTTCTCACTACTCACACAATTACCCTTTTTTTTTTGTCTCTTTTCATTTCTTGTTGTACACAATTGCTTCCAAAGTTCTTTTTTTTTTTTTAATGAAAAAATAGATATACGAAGTATTTTAGCCATACTAATATATAATAAAAAAGATTGGATTTTTTAATGTACACGGTTTTGATATAATTTTACTATTATAACCGCTATTTTATAAATTACAATTTTTTTTAATTTTTTTTAAATTTCATTCTATAATTATCTATATTTTAAATAACACTCTACTTTTATGTAATTTTTATTATTTATTATTTTTAAAAATAATTGTCGGAGACATAGATTATCTTTATACGCTAGTAAAAATAAAAATAATGAAAGCTGAGTAACATTAATCACAAATTCATAATCATATCATGAGACACCCTTTGGCGAGAGAGTTGGTATTTTTTAGCGATATGGTTGGTCCATATACGACAAGAAGTAAATTATGATAATTTTGTAATCATGTTACTTAGTTGAAATGGTTAGAACAGAAAATAATGTTTTTTTTACTTGAGCCATGGGCTGAATTTAAAAAAGTACAAGTTGAACCGAAAGAGAGTGAACTATTATTTCGTGATTCAACAGTTTTATTTCATTTCACCAAATATTCTTCTACACATGCGGTGCAGATGGAGAAATCTCAATGATAAACCTTTTTGAGAACTCGAACTCCTCTCCACCGAGACTCCATGTAATTAGAAGGATCATTTTGTGTGTACACTCCAAATTTGAAGTAGTGGGAGAAACCACCATACCCCGTTGCTTCGTAAACCTGAACACCATCTAAATAAACCTTCACATTAGAGGCCTCCACATCGTGGATCACGTTTAACTGAAACCATCTCCCCCATATGTTTGGAACAAGGATTGGAGCCTTATAATACGAAAGTGTATTATTGTAGGTTCTAACCATGAGGGTTGTCGCACGAGGATAATCTGCCCCAAACACTTGCATGATGCACACGCCAGAGGTACCATATGGCACAAACCCCTGCCCTTGAAATTGCCACACCCCAGAGGAATAATCATAGCCCTAAAATCCCATAATGCATGTGATATTATAAATGTAGTAATCACGTACACAAGTATCATAAGGTGTATTTGAGAAAAGAAAAATGCTTAGCTTATTTTACTTACTCTAATGCGGATTTCGGATCTAGGCCTTGTTGTGCTATTTTGGGAGAGAGGTTTGTCTGTGGAATATACCCACAGTTTGTGCACTCCATCTATGAAGCTGTAGCGTTGTGTTACGGGTACGTCGTAGGGTTTGTGATGGTCGAAATTGGAGGTGTTTAGTGGGAGTTCAGTGAAACCAAGTGTTAGGTCCACTGGCAAGGTGTTTGTTCTATTCATGAATAATGAAACATAAAGAACTATGTTCACAAGTGTAATCTGATACAAAGTGCCCATACCTTTCAATTCAAGATGAGGAATATAGTATTAGCAGTGTGAGTTAAAGAGGCAAGACGAGGTATAACCTGAAGCTAGCTGGATTCCAAAATTTGCATGCACATGCACCCTATTTATAAAGTTGATAATTTAATTTACTATATACATTTTTTAAAATTATTTTATCTTTAAATTTTTAAATAATAAAAAATAAAAATAATTATTCTTATAAAGATGAGGTTCAAGGTTAAAATCTTAAAATTTAAGGACTAAATATAACATTAATAAATCTAACAAATATTAATAATTTTAAATATTTTTATTAAATAAAATAAGCACGAAATGCCTCTATCTAATTAATATGTTGTAACTCGGAATGGGAAATGACCGAATGGTCTTGCAACATCTTCGGTACTTTCTTCACGCACTAAGGGCCAAGCTCTATTGGGCTTCCATCACTGTTGGATTGGAATTGAAGAAATAGAAAAGGTAGATGATAAACACACCTCTACTCTCCTATAAATACACCTCTTTTTTTTTTAAAAAAAATATAAAATATCTAAATTATCCTTTTAAAAAAAAATGAAATTCCTAAATTTACACCTCCCTTCTCCGCACCCCCTACCCCGCACAGAACGGTACCAGAACGACACCAGAGCGGGCCGTTCTGCAAGTAGAACGGCCCGTTCTGATTGTAGAACGCACCGTACTGCTTTCAGAACGTCCCGTACTTCTTGCAGAACGGCCCGTTCTGCAAGCAGTATAGGCCGTTCTGCTTGCAGTATGGGCCGTACTGAAAGCAGTACAGGCCGTTCTGCTTGCAGAACGGGCCGTTCTGGGGCCGTTCTGTTGCAGTACAAGCCACCGCGTCACTTTAAAATGACTACCTTATGACTGATTTTAAAACTCTGATTTTAAAAGTCATTTTTGTACTAGTATGTCTTTCCATAGAACAAGTAAGAGTCTTTCTCTTACAAGACCACCTGCTGACATTGCGCACCCCTCTTCTTTCTCTTTCTGGCACTCCTCTTTTTCTTTTTTTTTTTTTCCCGCACCTCGCACACCCCTCTTCTTTCTCTTTCTGGCACTCATCTTCTTCTTCTTCTTACTGTTACGGAAATTTCTTTCCGGAATTATATAAAAATGTTCCGGAAAATACTTTCCATAATATTAAATTCTTATTCTGGAAAGTAGTTTCCGGAAATGTTTTGTTACATAATTCCGGAAAGTACTTTCCATAATATTAAAGTTACTATTACGGAAAGTTCTTTCCGGAATTATATGAACAATAATTTTACTATTCCGGAAAGTACTTTCCGGAATGCTAATGACTGTAAAAGAACCTTTCTTATGCTGGTTATGGTGGGGCTAGTCCTTTTTTTCTATTCAGAATGACTGTAAAAGTATATTGCTTAATAACATTGAGCGAAAAGAAACTTTGGAAAGAAGAGGGATGTGGAGTGTGGGGTGCGGGAAAAAGGGGTGCGAGGAAGGGAGGTGTAAATTTAGGAATTTCATTTTTTTAAAGGGTAATTTAGACATTTTATATATTTTTTTTATAAAAAAAGGGTGTGTTTATACGAGAGTGGAGGTGTGTTTATCATCTCCCAAGAGAAAATGAGATGGTCCAGCCCGTTTTGTTCTTGCCTTCCTGGCCCATAATTAAATTCAACGTACTCATCCTTGTCGACTTTTCACGCGTATATAAGTATCGCTTTACATTTTCATGAATTTTATTTTCTTCCATTTACCACTAATATAATGACATCTTCCAATTTGGATGACAAAAACAATTATTTATTTTTAACTTTCTGACCTGAATTGTTATTTAACGTTGAGGTTATATGTATAGCAGTATAGGACTTTGAATTCAAACTTGTAATTTTTATGAATAAAAAAAAGTATATATCTCCTTCAAACTCCCAACTAAGATCGAAACTGTACTTACACGAATCAGGTTGGACTCCTAACTCGGATAAGTAGTCTCCCTGGTTCTGTTCCTGGCCGGAATCGTACGAAAGCGGTCGCTGGGGTGTGTCTCTTCTCTCTCTCTGATCTCCTCGTCCGAGCGTCTTCGATGTACCTGCAAAAGGGACTCCGAAGATCAAGTCAGTCGTCTATCCAATATCGCGTACTGCTTATATCATTACCTATCGTGGGTTTTTCGAGTAACCGTGTGAACTGCTATATGGTTATTTTCTGAGGGTTGTCCTTGGTTGAGTCGTGTTCGATGTTGTTGATATGCCGAGGTGTATCACCGATCTCATTCTTCTGATGTGGCACCTCAGCATTAGATATATTTACTTTAGTCGAACTAGACTAGGTGGTCATCTCGGTCAAGGTTGTTTTATGAACTCGGTTGAGCTCGGTCAAGATGTTTAATGAACTCGGTTGAGCTCGGCCTTGAGCCAGGTTGGTACACAAGCCCCCCAAGCTCTAAATGAAGTATGAATGAAAGAGTTGATAAGTGCATAGGGAGGCTCGGGGAAGGGGAAAGATGAAAAGACGTGGGGAAGAGTTAGAGCGGTACGTTCTTTCGATGCCACGTGTGAAACATTAAACATAAAAAATTAATACGTTTCAAATCGAAAGGTCGCAGTATTGGGGGCTGTGAAATGCGAGCGGGTGAGGCGCTCAATCATGACGATTGGAGTTGTTCGAGGCAACATTTAAGGCGCTCTAGCATAGGCCAGAGGTCGCACTGAGGAGCCGCGACGCGCAAGCATTAAACGACCGGGTGTGATACTGGGCCTATATATATACAAAGAGGGGACTTGCGAGCAGAGTTTTGGCTGTGAGAATATAGTGCGACAGCGATGGTGGAGGCGAAAGCATACTGCACAAAACAAAAGCGAGGAACTAACAGGTATTCCCCCTTTTCTCTTGGATTGTGTGTTGTCTGGTGTAAAGAGGGAGTGAGATTGATGGGAAAGGTGAATGAGGGGAAGCGTAAGGGAAAAGAAAGTGGGGGAGAGGAGGTAAAGGGGTCTGTGATACGAAAGAGGGGGGGAAACAATAGGAAGGATTCGCATCCTAAAATTGCAGTGACTGGGTACGAATGGGTACGGGGTGATGTAGGAAAATACGAGAGTAAAATTAAGAGTGAAATGGAGGCAAGCGTTTTGCAACACAAGTTGAGATTTTGTCTTCCCCCGTATTTAGAGCGTTTATCAATTGAGCCTTGTACAGTGGATGAACGCGTATTTTTTGAAGTCTCCATATCACCTCCATTTATATATATGTATTAGTGTTTATTCAAAGATTTGGGTGTGTTAATCCCTTTTACGCATTTTGAGTGTGAGTTTTTGAAGAAGATTAATGTTGCCCCTAGTCAATTACACCCAAACAGTTGGGGTTTTGTGCGTGCATTTCAAATTTTGTGCTCAGTGTTGAGTATCGAGCCAAGCTTAGGGACGTTTATGCACTTCTATCAAGTGAAACTGGGGGAACGACCTTATGGTTGGGTATCGTTGAGTGGGAGTTCGAATGGGGGGTTGTTCAAAATTTTTTCGCAATCATATAAAAGCTTTAAGGAAGAATTTTTTAGAGTACAATCTGCACATGAAAACCCGAATTTGGATCCGATTTTCCATTGGAATGGTGAACCGAAGTTTCCTCTATGTTGGCAATCACAACCTGTGAGGTTTGCTGGATCCGAAGGGTTGGTATTGTCTCCCAGCGAGAAAGAAGATATAAGGAAATTAGAAGAGCTAGCTCGGCCGTTAGAGAGCAAAGCTATTTTATCGCTTGCGAGATCCCAAAATCCACAAGAGGACTTAGAGAGTAAGTAATAATAATGTTGATATGTAGTTAAAATTGTGTAATTGAATATGTCATTGATTATTGTGATGTGCAGAGATCATGGGACGAAGCAAATGGCGTGAGCTAAAGGCCAAGTATAAAGCTGAAGAAATTGAAAGTCTAGAGGCCGAGGTTGGCCCAGTGAAGGAAAAGAAAGTGGCGCTGGATGACCGAGTTTTGAAAAAGAAACTCTGAGTTGGCAAGGAGAATGTAGGTCGTCCGAGTGGGGTGAAGGCTGATGTGCCAGATTCTTCCGATGTGGAAGACAAATCTGGGAAGGAGGATGAGCCCAAGAAAGATAAGCCCATCACCATCAATCTTGAGGAGGAAAAGGTGAGAATTACCGTTCTGTGATGTATAAATAAACAAATATGAAATTCGTGTGACATTATATGATATTATTTTCGTGTGTGTAGGTTGTAGCGATGAAGGACAAGGAGGTAGAAACAACTCCACTTTCGTCTCACAATGTGATGTCAGACTTACAAAAATCTATTGCCCAACTTGGTTTTGCGTCACCAATTCCTCGGGAAGGGCCTTCTCGAAGTGCCCAAGGTACTCGGCCTGCATCAAAGATATGATACCGATAATCCTCTGGGAAGATTGGATCATGTTAGTATGTCTGAGGACGTGACCTCCCTTTGGAGCGCCAAGCTGACGGCAGAATCTTTTTATAAAGAGGATCCAACATATATTGCTGATAAGGCCTTAATAGAGAAGGTTGGCCCAATTTAGGGGTTAGACTCTGTTCAAGTATTTTTGTAGAGATCGATATCTGTGGTAGACCACTGGAAGAAAAAGTGGGAAAAGAATGCCATGCAGATGGCCGAGTTGAGAGCTGAAAATGCCAGAATTGGAGCATTGAACTCTGAAGTTGAGGAGGCGAACAAGAAATTGGCTGAGATGACCAAAGCCTTCGAGATTTCTACCAGGTCAAATAAATCTTATTCGGCCAAGGTAGAAGAGTTGTTGGCTAAAGTGAAGGCAATGGAGGAGGAAAAAGAAAGAAACAAGCAGGAGCATGGCGAGTTGAGAAGGAAGATGGAAGAAAAAGAAAAAGCTACAACAGATTTGCAAGGCGAAGTGGAAAGATTAAAGTCACAAAACAAGGCCTGCCAAGAAGTAATAGCTGCTGATGTTGAGAAATATGCTGAGTTGGAGAAGAAAAATAATAAGTTGAGCAAAGAGCTTCAGACCATCGAGTACATATAATAGGGGAG